CATTGAACAATGGCATAGCATCATAAGGATCATGACTAAAATTGCGAGAGCTAGAAGTCTGAGTATGTCTATTGTTTGGTAAGGTATTACTCAAATTTTGTACTGACGCATCAATGGTTGTACTAGCAGCATGTGCTGAGGCAGCGCTTGAGAAGACATGTTTGCAAAATGTAAAACAAGAATTCAGAGAAATAAAAGGAAAATGTAACTGAGGAACACACAACACAGTGAACTTAAATGGGAAGAAAATGCTTAACTATTCTGCATAAGTAATTAAAAAACTGACAGGTCACACTGTAAGCAAGGAAACTCACACAAGAAAATACTCAACTGAATAAACAACACTTTGAAAATCAAGGGAACTTGTACTTTACTCAAATCTAATTTGCTCAACTTTACTTTAAAATTGAATGAATGGCACAATGAGTTGTCTTTACTCTCAATGCAATAGGGAAATTCAACAATAAAATGATGAATCAATCAAAAATGTTAAAATGGACTCAATAAAGCTTGTGCAAAATTAAGAAAAACTGGGAAAACAATTCACTAAAAATAAAATAATATGGCACACAAAGAATAAAATATTGTGCACAGAACAGAGCATAAGAAACTGCACTGAAATAAACTGTAGCAATATTGCAAATAACAATTGCTAATCAAAAGTACTGCACAACACTACTTAAAATTTCTGCAAGAAAATTTTTAATGACAACACAATGTTTGCATAAGAATTATTGCAAAATGAGTCAATGTGCAATAATAAAAAAAATTACACACACAAGAAAATACAGTTTACAAGAAAAGAAAATATAGCAAGGAATGAACTGAGTGAACACTTTAACTCTTAACTGCAGCTTAAGCAACACTTACTGAACAAACAAAGAATGATTTGCTTTAAATGAACAACTTAAAAATTGCACTAAGAGTGAATTTGTTCAATGAAACAAAAAAAATAATAGATGCAAAAACACAGAACAAAAGGTTTGAACACTTACAGTGATGCAGAACACAACACATCAATATAAACACATACTAGAATTTTCTTGCAATGAAAATTGATGTGTGAAAAATTTGGAAAAATAATTTTCTTGCTTGCACAAAATAATGGCACTATTGTTCGTGGAAATAAGACAAATTAGACACTGGCGAAATAAAAAGAATTAACACGAGAATGTTCAACACATCGCAGAGAAAACAAAACAAGAATACGCAAATACTGGGAGGAAAATGTAACAGACAACACTGAGTTGTGATGCAGAATACAAGGTAATAAATTACTGAATTACTTCACTGGAATACTGAGAACACAAGATGATTCTGAAGTGTAAACACAAGTTCTATTCTGCTCATATGTGTTGCACACAACAAGGAAAAAACACTAAGGTACTTACTTCAAGTATATAAAAAAAGAACACAACACAACAGACATGAAATTATGCACGAAAATTAACACTGAATTAAGAAGAAAAAAAATATTGCAAACAGTATATAATAAATACTGAGTCTAATCAAGAGTTACTGAATGTCACTAAAAAAAATCACTGGAACACAAAAAAGAAATGCCTCAACACTTGCAAATGTCTCTATGAAAAATATTATCATTGTAGCGGCGTTGTTAACTGAAGGCGGGTGGAGGATGGTCGTGAAGGGTAGAGGAGACTGGTGGCTGACTGCATTCGCTGCTCCTCTGCACACATGATCGTAGAATTGTGCTTAAATCGACGATGGACTCCCACAGGAGGCTTTTAACGATGGCACCACTGATGAAAAAACACACTCTAGCTCTTGACCCCCTATGTGATCTTTTAAATATGGTACTAGAACCCATAGTAAGAGTACAAAAACAGTGGTAGTGGTTTGGTGAGTGGGCTGAGGCAGGGCTGAGGCCGCAGTGGCGAGACCGCATGGTAACTGGGCCTATGGGATGAACGGCGTAAGCCTCACTGGGGACACCCTCACTGGCGCGAAAATATTCTAAGCCGGGCTGGCTTAAAACAAACCCACGAAATACCACAACACCATAGAGGTGAAAAAGCACTCAGAATAGCTTGGAGCTTGAAGCACAAAGTAATGAAGACTGTACCCACATGGTTTACTTGAGTACTGGGTTAGTCACCTCGGTTAGTCACCTGGGTTAGTTGCTGGCTGGCTTTGCTTAACCCTTCACACAGAATGGCTTGATAACTTCTAACAATGAGCACAGCAGGGGTGGAAAGCTGGCTTGGCAGGCAAAGGCTGGATGATGTAAGGCTAGGCTGACTGACTTCCTCACCACAGACTGGCTGCTGGCTTATTTTGCAAACTTGGGTCAACCCCTCGGGAGTGATGCAAATAAGCAGATAAACACTAATACAAGGAGACTGACCAGTGAATAATGTAGAGAGCTGGTAGACGCTTGCAGGGGTAGCTGGCTGGCTAGATCGAACGTTAACCTTCTCAGCAGGCCTAGCGTCAGAAGCTGGCGACTGGCTCAGTAGAAATTTATCTCCAGAAATCGCTGTAAACGTCAGAATTACAGGCCCTCTGCTGGCACCAATTTGTCGTAGGGGGTTTGGAAGGAGATAAGATGGATAAGGTAAACTCACTTGTTGGATTGTAACGATTTATATTGTCAGACTGTGGTAAGGAAAGGATGGGCCCAGCCTGCCGTGTTACTGCCTGGATGTCTAAGCGCCGAGTGAGAGTGAGGCAGAGCGACCCACTCACTTATGCTGCACCCCGTGACGTCATACAGTCACTAGGCCTCATAGGGATCTTCTATATAAACACATGGATGGTACTATGATGCTCAGCTAATCTATACATACAACACATGTAAAGGAGGATCAGCAACTATGCTGACACTGTTTGAGTGTGAGCAAAGTAACATTTATGAAGGGATTCAGGGAAACCGGCAGGCCGGACTTGAGTCCTAGAAATGGGAAGTACAGTGCCTGCACTCTGAAGAAGGGGTGTTAATGTTGCAGTTTAACTGTAGTGTAAAGCACCCTTCTGGCAAGACAGTGATGGAGTGAATGATGGTGAAAGTTTTTCTTTTTCAGGCCACCCTGCCTTGATGGGAATCGGCCAGTGTGTTAATAAAAATAATAATAATAATGGTGACGGCGATATGGGTAGCACATCTGCTAACAACCCATATATTTTTTGGATTTTTTCTTGTTTTCTTATAGCTTTTTCTTACATTATTCTTCCTAATATAATATTTGACTATTTGGCATCATATAAGAGTAGGCGGAGCTTATCCGTAGAGTGTCAGCCAACCAGGAACCATCTGGGAACACTCGGCAGTATTCCGGCTCCAGAGAGAGCCAGGAGAAATCACTTCATTATTACACTTATATCAGCTTATATATCAACTCTATGGCTTATTTATCTATCAGAATTGAACTAATATGATATAATAAACACTATAAATAACAAACAAACATGTTATATACTCTAGACTGAATAAAATAGGCCATAATATGGCGAGAGTCGACCAGGAATATTTCGATATAAATGAGTTACTCCTCTCCATGTCGTCTTTGAGTAAAAGAAAACGGTATTTTGAAGAGGATAACTGCACTAGAACATCAGTTTACTAAGGAATACACAGAAACAAACGTGATTTTGGCTGATTTTTTTTTTTTTTTTCGAGACGGCGGGACGGCCGGCGTTCCAGGCCAATATCTCGGAAGTAACTTATTCACTTATTTCGCTTCACTTCTCCCTTTGTTTTAATTAAGTGGAATAATATTCACAGAAATTGTAAAATAATGATTTCTCTAATTTCCAATAAAATTTTTGTGCAAATATTCCAAATATTTTGGGATTTATGTGGGAGTAAAGAGAAGATTTTTTTCAGCATTCCAAGAACTAAAAACTTTATTTTTTTGTGAAATGAAGATAAGATATTTAGAGCACAGGAACTTTATCCAAAATTCGTATTAACATTGTTCTCTCGGCACCAAGTGTCCAAACAACCTTACGTCGTCCCATATAGGAGAAGTGACCTGCCAAAGGGCTTTTTCAGTAAATCAGTCGTTTTCTCAGTTGTTGTTTGAGGTATCTTATTGGCAAATATTTACAGTAATTAGAGAAAGTACTTCGTCTTGTGCACCAAAACTGGAGGAAATCGGACAGAAAACAAACCCCAAAAAATTAATTGCCGGACAGGCCCCTGAAGACGGTACCCAGGACTCATCGCAGCCAGATTCATCACTCTCAGAAATAAACACCACTTATATGTGGAAGCAAATAAGATGAGTGAGAGATTTAGCTTAATCTCTCATAGCTGGAGTGTGAAGGGTCCATTTTCCCCTGCTGAACAAGGACAGAAAAATTGGTTCTTTAATAACGAATGGTCAGGGCTTGTAGACAGGTGTTAACAGAGTCCGTGGGAACAAAACAATAAAACAATAAAGAGGAAGGCGTAAGGAGAGGAGGAGTATGAGGTAATCAGTCCCTCAGCCTGGAGTCGATGTGTTCAGTCCATCAATGTGTTCAGTCCACATTCTACAAGATTGATGGACTGAACACATCGACTCCAGGCTGAGGGACTGATTACCTCATACTCCTCCTCTCCTTACGCCTTCCTCTTTGTATTGGACTGATGAAGCCACTGTGTGGCGAAACGTTTCCTGAATAAAGATTCCCATATGCTGCATAAGTGTCTCAATCTTCAACTTGTCGGTTTTTTCAAACCATTCATCACACATCTCTTAGTGTAGTTATTGTGACAGTAACTCCGCGAGAACTACTCAAAACATTACTAATTTAATAATCTAACGATATTTAGTCTGACATAATGCAAGTTGAACAGGATAAAATCAATTATATATGAACATTTTGCAGGCTTGTTAAGGATGATAAAGTTTTGTTCAAAACAGGTATAATATAATAATAAAAAAATACATATCAGTGTGTATATATCAGCCAATTACATTTTTTTCGGAAGAATTTATTTTTGGATATTCAGCAGGTCTTCCCAACTCTTCCTAAAAAGTATAAATGTTACATACCCACAGTACTGGCTGATCATGGCTCATGGCTCTGGAATTGTTTAGCATAGAATCCCTGACGGGAGTCGCGTTATTAGCTTGCCAGGTGTTACAGCCTCCCCACATGCCAGCTAACATTTTCACCACGTGGCCTTCGAAGTCCCGCATCACGTGGAAGCACTGCAGAGCGTATCAGGAGAGGAAATAACATCAGTAAGCAACGTAACTTACAAAGCGTTGCAGCGGTTAATGAATAACAAGACATAGTTCCTGAAAACGAGTGAAATGTTGGAAATATTCTACTAAAGGCTGGTTCAAATCCCCCATGGTGAGTGTTGCTCAGTTTCCAATCCCTCTTAACGAAATTCACATCCAATGTAACATTTGTATTATACACTTAATGGAGACCTTAATAATACGGTACAATAAGGTGCATTTATCACTAGGAATACAGCATTATAACTTATCACATGATATAAAAATTTTAAATAACTTAAATTTCGCTCATTAAAATTAAAATTAATGCCATAAAATATTATAGCATATAAAGTGTAGACTGAGTATAGCTGTTTTACAAAGTTATACATAGAAATATTTAAATATTTAATATTATAGATATGCCACAAGGATACGAAAAGTGGACAAATAGATACACCGAGAAATGCACAGCTCAAAATTACTGCACTTAATATTTAGTAAATTAATCTACCATGTATAGTCCACAGTAAACTAACTGACTAAAGTTGCACTTAACGTACCTTAATTCAGGTTGACTAAGTCGGGTAAAAATAACCCATACGTGAAAAAAAAAGTTTATGAGTCAATTACACAAGCTATATACTATATAGGAATATTTAGAACTCTGTCTAAATTAGCTATGCATAAATATATGCACATATCTCCTCTTGGGTCTTTTATCTAGGTCTTGTTATTATTGATTCCCTCTTCAACTTGTACTTGTAATATACGAAATTACATGTCACACAAACTTCACAACACACACACACACACACACACACACACACACACACACACACACACACACACACACACACACACAAACACACGCACACACACACACACACACACACACACACACACACACACACACACACACAGACTTGCAACAAGACTTGTTCCGGAGCTAAGGGGAATGTCCCACGACGAAAGGTTAAGGGAAATCGGCCTGACGACACTGGAGGATAGGAGGGTTAGGGGAAACATGATAACGACATACAAAATACTGCAAGGAATTGACAGGTTGGACAGAGAAAGGATGTTCCAGAGATGAGACACAGAAACAAAGGGTCACAATTGGAAGTTGAAGACTCAGATGAATCAAAGAGATGTTAGGAAGTTTTTCTTCAGTCATAGAGTTGTCAAGAAGTGGAATAGTCTGGCAAGTGACGTAGTGGAAGCAGGAATCATACATAATTTTAAGACGATGAATGATAAAAAAAAAAGAGCAAGAAAAGCAAAAAGGAATTATGAGGCTATGGTCGCAAGGGATTCGAAGACTAACCCAAAAGAGTTCTTTCAAGTATACAGAAGATTAGGGACAAAATCACTGACAGTGATAAGGATATTTCTGAAATTTTCATTACTTCCTCTCAGTTTTTACCCAGGAAAATACTAGCGAATTTCCAGAAATAATAGATTATGTAGAACAGAACGATAATAAACTATGCACGATTGTGGTAACTAGTGACATGGTCCTCAGACAAATAGAGAAATTAAAACCTAACAAATCCCCAGGCCCTGATGAATTGTTTGCAAGGCTGTTAAAGGAATCTTTTCAACATATCACTACAAACTAGCATTGTGTTTGATAAGTTTACAACGTAGGTAATAGGTCCTTGGCTTCGAGCTATAGACCAAAAAAGTCTTACCTCCATAGTGGGAAAATTTATGGAATCAGTAATTGCTGAAACAATTCGTTGCCATCTTGATGGGCATAAATTGATTAATGAATCTCAACACGGTTTTACAAAGGGGCTTTACTAAGGTGTTTGAGGAGGTAGATCATGGTAATGAATATGATAATGTGTATATGGACTTCAGTAAGCCTTTCGATAGCGCTCCACATCAGAGGCTATTGAGGAAACTTAAGGCACACGGAAAAGGAGGAGAAATTTTTTCCTGGGTATAGGCATCGCTGACAAATAGGCAGCAGAGAGTTTGGATAAATAGGGAGAAATCAGAATGGGGGCACGTCACAAGCGGTGTTCAGCAGGGGTCAGTGTTAGGCCCGTTGTTGTTCACAATTTACATAAACGACATAGATGAGGGAATAAATAGACACATAAGCAAATTTGCTGATGACACCAAAATAGGCCGTCCAATTCATTCTAATGAGGACACTAGAGCACTCCAGGATGATTTGAATAGACTGATGCAATGGTTGGAGAAGTGGCAGATGCAGTTTAATATAGACAAATGCAAAGCTCCAAATGTTGAACAGAAAAATAACCATGCCACATATAAACTAAATAATGTAGATCTTAATACTGCTGATTACGAAAAGGATTTAGAGTTCTGGTTAGCAGTAATCTAAAACCAAGACAACAGTGCATTAGTGTTTGCAATAAAGCTAACAGAATTCTTGACTTCATATCTAGAAGTATTAATAATAGAAGTCCTCAGGTTGTTCATCACCTCTGTATATCCTTAGTTGGGCCTCATTGAGATTATGCTGCACAGTTCTGGTCACCGTATCATAGAATGGATATAAATGCACTGGAAAACATACAGAGGAGGATGACAAAGATGATCCCATGTAAATAACAAAAAGGCACAATACCGTGACTGGAACGATACACAAATAACCCGCACATAAAAGAGAGAAGCTTACGACGACGTTTCGGTCCGACTTGGACCATTGACAAAGTCACACTAACAGAGGTGGCATGTACATTCACTACTTTTCCTATCATGCTTCCCCTGTCAAGAAAAGTGTTCTTATCTCCCTCTTTCTCCGTGCCCTCCGCATCTGTGATCCTCAGTTCCTTCCAGCAGAAATTTCCACTCTTCATAATTCGTTCTCCCGTCTTGGCTACCCTTCCCATTTCATAGACTCTGCCCTCTCACGTGCTAAACGCAATTTCTTCTCTCCAAACTCTCTACTCATGGGAACTCTTCTATCCTCTGCCTTCCCTACATTTCCGGTCTTTCTAATCTCAACAATTCTCTCCGTCCCTTAGACATCAAGCTTACCTTCCGCCAGACTAACACTCTTCGCACTAATTTCGTTCATACCTCTCCTCCCTCTACAGATGTTCCTGGTGTCTACTCTATTTCTTGCTCCTCCTGTCCTCTTCAATACTTCGGAGAAACTGGTCGATCTCTTTCTGACAGACTTAGGGAGCACAAAAATAGTGTTAGGCTTTCCGACACTAACAATGCTCTTTTCTGTCACGTCAGAGATCATAGCCATCCTATTGACTGGTCTTCTGCTAAAACTGTCTTCCCTTCTTCCCACTCAAACAGTCGCCGTCTAGTTGAATCCTCTCTAATACACAACTTTCCTTGTATGAACCTTAGCTCTGGCTTCGTCTCTGTAGATGCCTTCCTCTCCCACTACATTGTAAAATGCTCCAAACTTCAGAACACCCGTGACTTAACCTGAATCCTCATTTTTTCTTTCTTTATCTTCTTCCTCTTCCCCTTCCCTATTTCCTTTCTCCTCTGGATTGTCTTTCTCTCTCCTGTCTCGTGTTTCTGTTCCTTCTTCATTTATTTTATTTCACCACTTCCCCTTTCACGCACCTCTGTGCGCTTGCTCTCCCTCTGTGGGCATCTAGCTCTCTTGCAGTGCTCCCCTTCCTTTGTTTTTGACTGGCTCGTCATCCTTATTTCCCACTTCTACCACTACCACTACTACTACCTCTTCTTCTTCTACTACTACTACAACTACTGATGAAATTAAGACACATGTGCGGCGTCTGGTTGTTTTTGATGTGGACGTTTCGCCATCCAGTGGCTGGCTGGATGGCGAAGCGTCTACGATGGGGATGCCCGGGTGTTGTGCATGTGTCTTAATTTCATCTTGTCGGTATTATATACAATTCTTGTACTACTACTACTACTACTACTACTACTACTACTACTACTACTACTACTACTACTACTACTACTACCTCCACCTCTTCCTGCCTATATATAGCCGTCCTGCTCCACCTCTGTTAGTGTGACTTTGTCAATGGTCCAAGTCGGACCGAAACGTCGTCGTAAGCTTCTCTCTTTTATGTGCGGGTTATTTGTGTATGATCCCATGTATCAGAAATCTTCCCTATAAGTATATGAGGATATGAGGGGGATATGATCGAGGTGTATAGATGGAAAACAGGAATAAATAAAGGGAATGCAAATAGCATGCTGAAAATTTCCAGCCAAGACATAACTCGTAGCAATAGTTTCAAGTTGGAAAAATTCAGATTCAGGATGGATATAAGAAAGCACTGGTTTGGTAGAAGAGTTGTAGATGAGTGGAACAAACTCTCGAGTACAGTTATAAAAATAAGTTAGATAAATACATGAGTGGGTGTGGGTGGGTGTGCGCTGGACCTGACTAGCTTGTGCTACTAGATCTGATGCCTTGCTCCTTCCTTAAGTGGAAGTGACCTAATTAGATGGGTCATTGGGCTCAGCCAGAGGGTGACAGGGACCTACTTCGCATGGGTCAGTAGGCCTGCTACAGTGTTCCTCTTTTCTTATGTTCTTATAAAGCTTATGGAGCAGGGAGAGATAGGACCTAGTAGAGATCAGTGAAGAGGCATGGCCAGGAGTTATGCCTCGACCCCTGTAACCATAAATAGGTGAATACTAATGGGTGAGTACACACTCACACAAACACACACACGAACACTGAACTGATTACAATGGGTTCAACTTATCTTAGTGGGACAGACATCACAAAACAAATATTCGATACCTATTGCTCAGAAATCAGATGTGATTTTCAGTCATATTTATATGAATATGTAGTGCTGAATAGGTAAAACTTGCAATTTTCACTTTAAAAGGAACATTCTTCTTACCAAAAAAAGGCAAGTGAAAATTTGTGTTTACCTGGAGAGAGTTCCGGGGGTCAACGCCCCCGCGGCCCGGTCTGTGGCCAGGCAATAATTTCGAAAAAATCATTCTGAACCTAACAAAAAAATATATCTCATTGTCTTGGTTTATTATTATATTACTGTAAAGTTATATAAAATATTAGCTGGATTAGGCTAAATTAAATTGCGCTTGTTACAGTAAGGTTAGTTAAGTTTTTTAAGGTTCTTTGGGCACAAAATTATTAATTTTTACATTAAGATAAATGAAAAAAATATATCTTTATATGTATAAGAGAAAATTTTAGAAAAGACTTAATTTTAAATGAGTTCTTCCTAATTAACCAGTTTTACTTATTCAGCACAACATATATATATATATATATATATATATAATATATATATATAATATATATATATATTATATATATATATATATATATATATATATATATTATATATTTATATATATATATATTATATATTATAATATATGTCGTGCCTAATTTGTAAAACTGGTCAATTAGCAAGAACTCATTTAAAATTAAGTATTTTCTGAAATTTTCTCTTATACGTTTAAAGATATATTTTTTCATTAATGTTGAAGTACAAAATTTTAATTTTGCACCAAAAGAATCTTAGAAAACTTACCTAACCTTATTATAACAAGAGAAATTTATTTTAGCCTAACCCAACTAAATATATTTTAGATTTGTTTACAATAATTTAATACTAAACAAACACAGTGAAATATATTTTTTTCGTTAGGTTCAGAATAATTTTGGCGAAATTATTGCATACAAAAATTTTCACTTGTCCTATATGGCAAGATGAGCGTTGCTATTTAAGCTAAGATTGCAAATTCTGCCTATTCGGCACTACACACACACACACACATATATATATATATATATATATATATATATATATATATATATATATATATAATATATATATATATATATATATGTATATATATATACATGTATATATATTATTTTTTTAGTTAACATATCGGCAGGGTGGCCTAAAAAGAAAACGTTCATCATCATTCACTCTATTATTATCTTGCGAGAGACGTGCTTGCCCTACAGTGATGAAACTGCAACGTTAATATCCTTCCTTCAGAGTGTATACACTGTACCTCCCATCCCCAGGACTCAAGTCCGGCATGCCTGTTTCCCTGAATCCCTTCATAAATCTTAACTTGCTCACACTCCAACAGCATGTCAAGTCCTAAAAACCATTTGTCTCCATTTGCTCCTATCTAACACACTCATGCATGCTTTGCTGGAAGTCCAAGCCCCTTGCACACAAAACGTCCTCTACCCCCTACCTCCAACTTTTCCTAGGCCAACCCCTACCCCGCCATCCCTCCACAACACATTTATACACTCTCAAACTCATTCTATTTTGTTCCATCCTCTCTACTTATCCATACCACCTCAACCACCCCTTCTCAGCCGACTGGATAATAGTTTTGGTAATCCAGCACACCCTCCTAATTTCCAAACTACGAATTCCCTGCATTGTATTCACACCACACATTGCTCTCAGATATGACATCTCCACTGCTTCCAGTCTTCTCCTTTTTGCAACATTTATTCCCTCATCTATGTCGTTTATGTAGACTGTGAACAGCAAGGGGCCCAACACTGACCCCTGTGGAACACCGCTTGTGACATGCTCCCATTCTGATTTCTCCCCATTTCTGCAAACTTTCTGCTGCCTATTTGTCAGTCATATATCTACCCAAGAAAAAATTTCTCTTCCAATTCCGTGTACCTTAAGTTTTCTCAGCAGCCTCTGAAGTGAAACTCTATCGAAAGCCTTACTGAAGTCCATATACACAATATCAAATTCAGCATCATGATCTACCTCTACAAATACCCTAGTGAAGAAAGTTAGTAAATTCATAAGACAGAAACGCCCTTTTATAAAACCGTGTTGAGATTCATTAATCAATTTATGCCTTTCAAGATGGCTACGAATTGCTTTGGCAATTATTGATTCCATAAATTTACCAACTATGGAGGTAAGGCTTATTGATCTATAGTTCGAAGCTATGAACCTGTCACTTGCCTTGTAATAGGTATTACATTTGCCATTTTCCACTTAACTGGCACTATGACAGTTTGTAGTGATATACTGAAAAGAATAGCCAAATGTATGGTAAGTTCCTCTTTACATTTCTTTAAAACCCTTGCAAACAGTTCATCAGGGCCTGGAGATTAAGTAGGTTTTAATTTCTCTATTTGTCTGAGGACCATTTCACTAGTTACTCTAATCGTGCATAGTTTATTATCGTCCTGTTCTACATAATTTATTATTTCTAGTATCTTCCTGAGTAAAAACTGAGAGGAAGTAGGTATTGAAAACTTCACACATTTCCTTATCACTGACCTGATCTGGGCCTGTCTTGCCCCTAATCTTACTTTTGTATACCTGAAAGAACCTTTTTGGGTTAGTCTTCAAATCCCTTGCAACTTTAGCCTCATAATCCCTTTTTGCTTTTCTTATTTCTGTTTTTATATCTCTCTTTAATAAAATATATTGATTTCTTAACTGTGCTCCCCCTCTTTTGATACGCCTATATATGCCTCTCTTTTGACCAATGAGATGTTTTAATCTATTGTTTATCCATTTGGGATCATTTATGTTAGATCTAATTTCCCTACTTGGGACAAAAGTCGTCTGGGCAGCCAACACTATGTTCTGAAATACGTCATATTGGTAAACAACACTACCTACCTGACACATAGTCAGGACATCCCAATTTAGCCCACCCAGGTAATTTCTCATATCTATGAAGTAGGCCGAGTGGAAATCTAGGACAGTGACTTGATTGCAGTTATCTGGGTAATTCCATGATACATTGAAACTAAGTGATATGTGATTGCTTTTCCCTAGCTCATTACTAACCTCAAGATTGTTAACTAGTGATTCTTTGCTGGCAAGAACCAAGTCAAGCAGATTGTTTCCTCTAGTTGGTTCTGTCACAAACTGTTTTAAAAAGCAGTCTTAAATCGTATCAAGAAAGTCACTACACTCAAGATTTCCTGACACATTGTTCCAATCAATTTGTCTAAAGTTAAAATCTCCCATTAACAAAACATTTTCATATCTACACGCCTTGTGAATTTCGTCCCATAGCAGCTTACCGCACTCCCTATCAAGGTTTGGGGGGCTACAAATTACACTCACGGTCCTCGAGAAACTTTAGCCAAATAATTTAAATTATCTCTGACTTACATCGCCATTCCACCACCCTTCCTGTTGACCCTATCAGTGTGGAATAGTTTATAAAACCATCATTAATCAGGGCTTGTCTATTGTTTAATTTACCATCTCTGTTATAGCATTAATATATATTACCTATCTTGCAAGTTAATTTGCCTTTCTACTAATTTATTTTTTAGATCCTACTAGTGAAAACTAGAGAGTTGTCATTGATTCCCTTCCTATCATACCTTTTTGATATTGCTTTGCCATTACTTAAATTTTATTTAAACTTTTGGTTAGTTTAAATCATTACCTGGGTATCCGCTTATATCTGTTTTTCTTTTCCTTTATACTGTTACCTGATTGTTTCCCCACAACCATACCTCTTTAATAAAATTTTAAATTCTGACAAACTCAATGACCCCTTCAATCGAATTGCGTGCAATTACATCCAACCCGAGTAGATGAACCCCATCTCCTTTCATACAATCATGTTGGCATAGAATATGTCCCAGTTATAATTAATGTTGCAAGTTCTTGCTGGTACCTGTCTATCCAGCAATTACCATTTGCCTAAACAACCATCATTGCCCTACACTTCTTGGAATCCTACATTAGCTTCCAGGTAATTTCCTCATTCATAGACGCAAACTCTATGGATGACTGTACTCATCCGCAGTTACCTGCTCCTTCCCTTCTTGAATCAATTCATCAGCATTGATAACTAATGGGCTTGTTACCCTTAAATTGACATAATAGTATCCTTCGGCAGACCAGTCAAACCAGTTCCTGTGGTACGACCCCAACTCCTTCCTATCTCAGTTACAAAAAGCGCTCCATAATCTTACCTCAAATCTCCTACAATTAGAATATTCTTACCATTGTCTAAAGGGAAGTCACAGTACCTAGATCACTAACCTGAAGTCACCATTTGGAGAAAACAGAATCGATTCCTACCTGCATTTTGCATAACCTATCCTTATCCCCTCTCCTAACTGGACCACTTGAATATTAAAGTGCAGTGCACATCTTCAGCTCACTGCAGCTATCAGTTATCTACCAGCTCCCACTGTCTCACATCAAATCCCAAATCTTCATTTAACCGCGAAGGCGTTAAGCCCCATTTACCCCGAAGAAAGATCTCCTCAACCGTTTAAGCAGAGTTATAACATTCGGGGCATCTGCCCAGGTAAACCCCACACTAATTCCCAGACAGCTTAGGACATATTGCTGTAGGTGAACAGGCAACTGCGTTAGGAAATGCGAATGTTGAACCCGGAATGACACTGCCTTCAGTGTAAGCGGCTGCGAACAAGGCCACCGGGCCAGTTTAAGAACTCACTGAAAACTTCTGATGCCAGTAATGTAGCACCGACTACTGCTGTAGTTTGTGATACTATCTGATACCAGTAATGTAGTATTAATGTGTAATACAACACTCACATCTGACACTAAAAATGCAGGTAACTAGAGCTGACACCAGAAATTCAAGTGTGGACACTTGTTTCAGTTTCTAATCAGAAAAAAAGTTTCTTAACACCGAACTTCATCAGATGATGACTCGTTAAGTGGTTAAGCATTCAGCATCGGCTTGCCTGCCGCATTAAATAAGTTATAAGTAAGTTTATTCATGTATGCACAGAGTTACATAGACTGTCATACATAGCAGCATATGTGTGTAGAGAACTTGGATAACCCAAAAAAGTCAGACAAAGTGATTTATTTCCACTTAGGGTCCTTCATACAGATCGCTGTGGACTAGATAATGATAAATGATAACCAAAACCATTTGGCTGTTTCCTCACCTTGCCTGAAGCGATCCACTGATGAACAGCATCCACCTCCCGCTGAAGAATAGGGGCATCTGCATCCCTGACCATGTAGCGCTCCACTAGAGGGTCACCTACTACGCAGAATCTCCAGCTAGTACCGGAAGACTTGTCGTACGTCACCTATGCCTGCAACAGATCACATGACAGAATACATCTTCCACTTTTCCTGATAAGTGCTGCAACCTGTCTTAGTTTCTTAATTCTTTGACAGTCGGACACTCAAGCTACAAATTTCTTTAAGCAGTGTCATGCACTAACTTAGTAAGTTTGAAAGAAAGTCCCATTTCTTGAACATTTATGTATACCAAACACAAGTCTGACTATGGACCGATATTTAAAAAACTTCATTCATAGGCTCTACATCTCATATACATAGCCAGTTTTAATTGGTCGCCTTTTTCGGTGAATGAGCCAGACACTGATCTACTAATCAGCATAGTAGACTATCACCTATCACGCATAAGTGTCTCAATTCTTCAACTTGTCGGTTTTCAAAATCATTCATCACATCTGTCAGACACTGCAACATCATGGGATCTTGGTACAAAGACTTCAACGCTTGCCCAACCTTTGGACGACGACCTACTTACACTAGTGGCAGGTCCCACTGTGATCCCGCCTCCTCCTGCTTCAACTCATCTCACCGCAGTATATAAGCCACCTCTCTGGCCCTGTGCTGCACTTCCTACAAGAGTGATGGACTGAACACATCGATACCAGGTTGCAGGGACTGATTACCTCAAACTTCTACTCTCCTAACCCATTTCTACTTTGTACTGGACTGATGAAGCCACTGTGTGGCGAAACGTTTCTTCAATAAAGATTCCCATGTGTTGCATAAGTGTCTCAATTCTTCAATAATTTAGTTCTAAACAATCACAATCAAATATATTTTTTTCGTTAGGTTCTGAATGATTTTGAGGAAATTATTGCATACACAAATTTTCACTTGTCCTACATGGCAAGATGAGCGTTGCTATTTAAGCCATGATCGCAAGTTCTGCCTACGCTCCCTCGTTGACTATGGGGCACTTGTTCTGGTTCACGCCAGACCCACAAACATCAAATCCCTCTGTGTGATCCAGAACACAGCTGTACGGGCCATGCTCGGGGCTCCTAGGTTGGCCAATGCAGTGGCCCTGAACCTTGAGGCCGCACAGCTGCAGCCCCTTGAAGACAGGATCCAAGTGTTAGCTGCCAAGAGGATAGCAAAGTATTTCCGACTCCCAGGAGCTGACAAACTGATGAGGGATTTACGGGTCCACCAGGGACAGGTCATTCCACTGCATCCCGGCCGCCGATGGATGTGGTCGGTAGCAGATGCCACACAGAAGCTCCTGCCCATGACGTTGCTCCAGGCGGGAGGCTGTGACAGACTGGCAGCGAACTACACGGTGCCGCCCCCTTGGGCACCAGAGCTGTTGGTGGTGCACTGGACAACCCTACCAGACAGCAAGAGGCATTGCACCTAGGACATTCTGCAACGACTTGCCTCGGCTAGCATTTTGGGTGCGGAAGGCCCAGGGTGTGTGCCATATTACACCGATGGCTCCAGAGACCCAGTGGTAGGCCGCACAGCTGCTGGGATATTCCACAGCAATCTGACAGCAGGTTGGCGCCTCCCAGACCATTGCACCATCCTCCAGGCTGAACTCTTTGCCATCCAATAAGCTCTGCAGCATGCTCTTGCAGACCATCAGCATCCCCCCGTCATCCACGATGATTCCAAGGCAGCGATCCAAGCAATTATGCACAGAGAGCCAAAGGACAACATACACTTAATCACATCCATCCAGGGTGACCTGCAGACTCTCATGGCCTAGGGTCGCAGGGCCACCATCAACTGGATCCCGAGCCATGTGGGTATTCCTGGCAATGATGCTGCAGATGAGGCTGCTAGGACTGCAACCCTCGAGGCACAGCCACGTGCTACAATCTACATCAGCCTCAGCCAGATTGTGCTGTGGACTGCCGGTGCTGCCAGGCGCCCACTCTCTGACCCTGGGGATTCACAGAGCCTCCGCTGGTATGTCAGGGCGACCCACAGGGCGGCCCCTCCAAGTATTCGGACACAGTCCAGAGAACTGAGGGTGCATATCCACCACCTACGCTTAGGGTATCCCACCACTGCGCAGATTGTTGAACCGGCACGAGAGGAGCTCTGTGCCCATTGTGACCGAATGGTTCCAAAGCCCTTGGTGCACTACCTGTTAGACTGCCCGGCTACGATGCCCCTTCACTGTAGACACTTCCCAATGACCCCAGTGGGGCAGGCCCGAGAGGATGAGGCAGCACATCTTGTGTACTTAGCCGTCAGGGACTTGGAAACCTTACTTCCAGTCATTGCACGTCATCCACCCCCCCACTGAAGTTGCTGTGGTGCCTATGCTAACTTTCTATGGTGTAGAAATATACCTAGTTGGACGAATCTTATTGTGGCTAGCTGGTCCAGTGGCTAACGCGACGGTCTGGAGTTTTGAGACTCTGACAGCGGGTTCAAATCCCGCCAGTGGTATGGTTTGTTTGCAATCGTGTAATTACGGTTTCGTGAGTCGCTGTGAGGACCTGCTTTGGGCCTCCATTGCACCGCACACCAGCCACCGTTAGTGCACACTAACGTTTGGTACGTCATCTGGCCATAGAGCCGGTTAGGTACCCCCCCGTTCCCGCTGAAGAACTACGACACATGTGCAAGAAAAGATAAACGACACCTCTGTACCCGGGAAACCAATGCTGGGTCACCAAAATGTAAAAGACCCGGGCCGGGATACCATACCGGCGAATCAAATAGAACAGAATAGAATAGAATAGTTCTGCCTATTCGGCACGACATATAAATTATATATAATATATAATTATATATTTATATATATATTATATATATATTATATATATATATATATATATATATATTACAGGGCCGGATTACCGCATAGGCAAACTAGGCATTTGCCTAGGGCCCCGCGCATTTGGGGGCCCGGGGTCCAAGGGTTCAGGGGTTCATCCAAGACTGCGCACATGGTGCAAGTGCAAAGGAGTCCCTACCTAAAAAGTTCAAGTGTTTGGAGAGTAAAATTGATTTTTAAAAATTAATCAAAACAAAAATAAATAATGAATAGAATAAAATAAAAATAAATAAACCTAACCATAGATGGCAACACTCAACACGCCTTTGTTTACATCAGAACAGCTGTGTTTTCCCGCTAATGGGTGAGTATGGGAGATTCCTCTCCAATTTTCTGTAGTAATTACACGTTATCTAGACTTGTACTGTGACAAATTAACTGAAGTGTTGCTGATAGACATTGATGTGTATGGATAAATGTTTGTTTTCACCTCTAAATGTTAAGGGAGGTACCTGATAGGGTTACTTGACCAGTAAAGACGCATGGACCAGTAAAGACGCATTTTTGGTAAAAATACTATAAAGAAAAACCTAAAAACGCAAACTGACTTCCCTTTGTAGGTCTTAAAAGCACTTTGTCCTGTCTTTAAGTCTTTATCATTTCAATAACAGATCTCAATTGATTGATGTTCTACATCACTTCCGTCGCAAATGCTAACAATAATGATAACAATAATGGTCAGTGATTTATAAAGGGAATAATGGTGCTGTAGTGGTTATGCTGAATATAATAGGTACATGATGTCACTACTTTAATAGCCTAATCTAGTAATACTATGCTGTCTTGAGTTTATTCTCTTTAAAATGCATGATTTAACAAGATAGTTATAATGGCTGTTGGTAAATGGTTTTGGTTGTCTTGATGTACTTTCCCTATTAAATTTAATCTAAATAGCCAGAATGTGTTTAATTAGACCTTAAACAGGCTCACACCGACCCCCCCCCACCCCAAGCTGGAAGGGGTCGCTTCGCTTACCCGTAACTCAAAGGGGGCCGCCAATCTGAATAGCCTAGGGCCCAGAGACTTCTTAATCCGGCCCTGTATATATATATATATATATATATATATATATATATATATATATATATATATATATATATATATATATATATTAGTGAAATTCCAAGCGTTTTCGTGACTTCTCACATTGTCGAGGAACTGTAAGAACAATACATCAAAGGAAGGCATATAAAGGGTCGAGACTAGACCTCACCATCACACATGACGCGTGACGACACCCGGCTCATAGGAAATGAGAAACACTGCAGCAGGTCTCTTGGCCCATACTAGGAAGGTCCTTCACGATACATTCCACTAACAAAATATTTGTCCAACCTTAGTACTGTACCCAAGAATTAAAATTTATTATTTGTTTAATGTATTATTAAATTCTTCCCAAAATTTATTAATTATAAATGAATCTAATTTATATAAACCAAAGGAAATATTCATATTATTTTCAAAATTGCTTTTTATGAAACATGATTCAATTATATTCCTGTCGACCATGGACTTGCTTGATACAACTTCCTCAACTTTTTGAAAATCAATCGGATGATCAAAGTCTCTCATATGAATAAATAGAGCATTAGAATCTTGACCAGTTCTAATACTATATTTATGCTTTTTTAATCTTAGTTCGAGACTTTTACCAGTTTGACCGTAATAAACCTTATCGTAAATTTTACATAAGAACTTAAGGAAGGAGGAACACTACAGCAGCCGTGTTGGCCCATACTGACCCAATACTTTCCTATATCCTTTCGAAATCTTAACTAATCTAATTTGAATCCATTATTGCGGATTCTTTCTTGAAGGGATATCCTCAAAACCTTATTTATATCCCCTTTGTTAATACCAAGCTTCCACTTACAGACTTCGATCATGTCTCCCTCATTCTTCGTCTTACAATGTGAATATTGCTGACCTATACCTGATGAGCAGGTATAAGTCAGCAGTAGAAATAATTTTGAAGGGTTGGAACCCTGTCATATGTGGTACTTTGCCAAGGAGAGAAGCTGGAAATGAATGGTTGTCCAGGGCAATTGGTGTCAATTGCTGGCTGGACAAATACTGTAAGGAAAATGTGGTAACATTCATTGACAACTGGGACCTCTTCTATGGCAGAAATGACATGTATGCCAGGGATCGGGTACACTTATCTAGGTCTGGGGTGGGGACACTGGCAACTGCTGTGGAGGGAGCTGTTAGGACTTTAAACTAGGAATAGTTAGTGGTGACCTGTACTTAGCTCAGTGGTGACCTGTACTTAGCTCAATGGTGACCTGTACTTAGCTCAGTGGTGACCTGTACTTAGCTCAGTGGTGACCTGTACTTAGCTCAGTGGTGACCTGTAATTAGCTCAGTGGTGACCTGCACTTAGCTCTTTGAAGATCTGTCCAGTGTGTTCTCTGTGAATCTACACAAGATGTCCTCTCTTGAGCAACTCTACCAGCAGCTAAAAGAGGAGCTTAGGGTTGCTATGATAGAGATACGGCGATTGACGGAGGAAAACAAGAGGATTCGAAGTAATTCTCCTGTTGTGAGTCCTCAGGTCAAGAGAGGAACCTGGTCAGTGGCTGGCCAACATGGAACAAAGCTGAAAATCAAGAAGACTGTTGGAGTGGCAGAAACAACGAAGATCCAGAAGACTGCTGTGGAGACTTCAAACCCATTTTCGGTGCTACCAGACGAATGTGTGTTGTCTACTGGGAACGTCGAAATGAGTACCAAGGAATCATTGGCAGAGGAGGATGAGTCGACATCCCGTAAAACCCCAACGAAGACCATTGAAAACGTCACTACAAACTCCAACAGTGAAGGTAAGAACATTGTTTTAG